AACATTTTAATTAGATATAAGCACGTGTTTTTAGGTTAGGAGTTTGCTTTTTGTGTATGAGGGCAGCACTGAAAATTTCGGGAATCAAGGAAGTGACACAACATTAATATTTAAAAATGTATTTATTGCTTTTCGAAGTATTCTCCGCGAAATTTGACACATTTTTCCATACGATGGAACCAATCATTGAAGTAACCATTCCATTCGGAAGTTGGGGTCTCCAAAATGGCCGTTTTGTAGGCGTCCACAGCTTCTTCAGGTGATGAAAATCACTGTTCACGCAATTTATTCTTTATTTTAGGGAAAGTATAGAAATCATTAGAGCTTAGGTCGGGGCTGTACGGCGGATGGTCTAATAATTCTATGTTTTCTTGCTCTAAAAACTCTTGTTCTGTGTGCGGTGTGAGAACTCGCATTGTTGTGATGGAGGATGATGCGGCGGTTGCAGTTCTCTTTACGGAGTTCAGAAACGACCTGTGGCAAGCAAATGCTAGCATACCATTCTGCATTAACCGTTCTTTGTCCCTCAAGAGGAATAGTCGTAACATGGCCAGTTTTGGAGACAAACGTGGCCACCATCTTTTTTGCAACAATCCGTGAACGAACAATTTTTGTTGGCTTTAACTCATTTTCGAACACCCAAACTCGTGACTGGTTTTTTGTTTCGGGTTCGTACGCATATATCCAGGATTCGTGACCTGATACGATGTTGTATACAGCATTTGAGGATCCTGCGTGGAATCTTTCGAGAGTTCTGATGCACCAAGTAACGCGAGCCGCTTTTTGCTCTTCACAGAGCGAATGCGGTATCCATCGGGAAAACAACTTTTTTACACCTAATTGTTCGTGCAAAATTATTTGTATTTGACTCATGCCAATGTCTAAAGTAGCCTGAATTTCGCGGTATGTCACATGTCGATCTTCCTCAATCAGCTTACGCACAGCATCAACGTTTTCTTGGGTGACTGCAGTTTTTGGACGACCTTGACGGGGATCATCACTGAGCTTGACACGTCCACGTTGAAATTCAGCAAACCAGCGATAAATTGTGGTTTTGGATGGGGCTTCATTACCAAATGCAGAAATCATCCGGTCAACACACTGTTTTTGTGTTAAACCACTTCGAAAGTCATAATAAATCATCGCTCTTGAATTTTCTCGAGTCAGTTCCATTTTCTCAACGACTAAACATGTTTGACAAAACCTTGTGACAAGACCGAGAATCTTTTTTTAAATAAATAAATGGTATTCGATTTTTAAAACCAAGAAGTTTTCAATTAAAAAGATTTTAATATGACAGGAACAGTGGAAATATTCCATTCCCGATACTTTTAGTGCAGCCTATGTATTTGTTGTTTTGTATGGACCATTTATTGTAAGTAATTTCACTTTTGAACTTTATTATTAATATATTATTGAACTTTATTATTGAACTTTAATTGAGGTTAGTGTGTGTTGGCCCGTGGCCGTCGTTCTGACACTGGCAGCAGTCATTGTATACAGTGACGTTGGCAGCTGTCACTGTGTGTGTGACATTGACGTTGACAGTAGTTTGCGTTTCGTTTTACTGTACAGGTCGATGACATATTTTATGGTGACAAATTGTATCTGAACTATTGCAATGGGGGACAAATCCCGCCTATTTGTTCCGCGGAAATCCTTGGTGCGCACGCCACCGGTGGTGCTTCGGCGATGCCTGTAGGCCCCAGTATTCTGAACACAAAAGGAAGCTCGAGCGTTACGGCCGAAAAACGGCCCCTAACGTCTCCAGAGCAGCAGCAGCCCATGACGCAGCGGCAGAAAGTGGAGAAGGAAAAGAAGAAAGGAGAGACTGTTGCTTCAGTCGCTGGGGTTTCGTCCGCAGGATCGACGACGCAGGCGCTGGAGGAAGACTTGGAGTCTCTGGAGGAGGGGTTCGATGCCTCCAAGGCAACCCTCTTGGAGATAATTGAACACACGCGGATAGCCATCAGGACCATAATGGGCATAGTGTCTGGCCAAGGCATGGCTATGGTAGAGGCAATGGAGGTCCACCTGATGGAGGCTCAGCTTGCGTTATGCAGAGCTGAGCGTGACAGATTCCCAGCGGAAGTAAAACTGGTGCACCAGGAGTCCGCGCGTTCACCCGCAGGTGACGGGGACTACGCCGCCACAGGAAAGACAAGCTTCATATCCATGTTTAGGATGCCGAAAGGTGTTACGTCGATGCCCATCCCCGAAAAGTGAGGCGCGGTCTTGGCTTTTTATCCTGCCGGGGAACAGGCACACCTTAAGACAGCGGACGACACAAAGGCGGACTTAAGAAGCCGGTGAGGTCTTCTGAGATTAATATCCAGGTTTCAAAATTAAGAAAGGTAGGGAATGCTGGGGTTGTGGTCCAGACCACATCCCATGAGGCGGCACAGAAGCTGAGGACTGCGGCTCCTCCAACATTGAGGGTGGCAGAGCCACGACAGCACCAGCCATTGGTCGCACTGCGTGGATTTGAGGATGACGTTAAGACGGAGGACATTTTACCGGCACTCCATGATCAAAACTTCGGTGAGGATATGACGTGGACCCTGGAAGAATTAAGCAGACAGTGTAAGGTAGCCTTCAAAAAGTCGTAGAAGGGAAGCAGGCATGCCACGTTGGTGCTACAGTGCATCTCTGCATTAAGAGACGCATTAAAGGCCAGGAACAGGCTCTAAATAGGATGGGACGTGGTCGAACCCTGTGACTAGATTGATGTCACCTGCTGCCGAAAATGGCAGCAATACTGACATCCTGCCAAGGCTTCAGGGCTAAGGAAGCCACATGTGGCAGGTGGTGGGAAGTGGGGCACAGCAAAGAGGAATGCAAGTCCCCTGAGACATGTTGTGCTACTTGTCGGAGGTTTGGCAAGGCGGGCGCAAAGATTCATGCCACGATGGCGAAGACCTGCCCGGATAGGGTGTACACGGAGGAAAGGCCCATAAATACCACGCAGTATGGGTAAGGTGAACCATCTGAATATTGGGCAGCTTAACCTGGGGCGGGGTGAGATGGCCACGAAGGAGCTCTGACATTGTCCATGTTCAGGAGCAGTGGGCCAAGTCAGAAGATTTAATCCAGTTTAGTGCCGAGCCCTAGGCAGGGATTACGATCCCGGGAGAACACATAGGTGTGGCTGGACTGCCGCATCTTAGTAACTCCCACTGCGTGGTTTGCCATGTGGAGAAGTACGGTCTCTACCTAATCTCTGCGTACTTTAAGTACAGCGATTCAATTGACCAACATCTATAACACCTAGAGACCGTACTTGACCATCCAAAGGCCAAACGCGTTGTCATCGGAGTTGATAGCAACGCGCACTCGCCATTCTGGTACAGCGACAGGGCACAAACAGTGGAAAGAGGACACGAAGCAGAGCAAGCAGGAGAATGATGGAGGATTTCATCATTTCGCGAGGGCTCACACTGGCCAACGTGGAGGATCAACCGTCAACGTATGCCAAATTTGTGGAATAAGCTTTTGTGAAGCTAACCCAGTGCGTTTTACCTTCTTCGACTGCATCACCAATTACCATCAGAAGGGATAGTATAGTTTTTTTATAGGATTGGTTGACAAACGAGCACACAGTCGACCTGATGGTAAGTGGTTACTGTGACCCATAGACATCTACATCTATCCTCAATAAAGACAAAGGTTATGTTTGTTGATTTGTGATACGCTTATTTGTTTTGTTTGAATAATTGTGGTGGATTACAGCAGCGAAGATGATTTTGATAATTATATCCTGGAGAGAATAAACGTGCAGAGAACGATTACAACACAAGAAAAGTGATACGTGTCTTTCAAAATCCATTTGATTATTACAGTGCCAATGAATATAATAGTTGCTATAGGTTTTCAAAAAATATCGTAATAAATATACTTCTGCCTCTAATAAATGCAGATCTTTTGAAAGTTACCAGTAGAGGCCTTCCAGTGCCTCCTATTTACCAGTTACCAGTGGCCTTAAGATTTTATTCATCTGGGAGTTTCCAGGTTTGTAATAATAATTCAGTTAATCTTCCTATCAACAGTTTCAAATCCACATTATTTTAATAATATTTATGCATAAGTACCTATAATAACAGTACCAGTAACTTCTTTTAACTGAAAGAAAACAACACGGGTTATTATTTGCACAAAGACAACGAAACAAACAGAAATATAAAATGTAATTTAGACGTTTACCTGTCATTCAACTCGAGTGAAGTCGCCTCACAACGTTAACCAATCACGGCGCCCCATTCGGTGCTATGTGTCCGCACAACAAAGGGTCCACTAAGTATTGTTCATGAAATGAACGGCCTGCCTTGACCGACGCAGTGAGAAATACCTTACTTAGCATAGTGTTGCTGCCATACTTATGTATGTGTCGTTCGTGAATACGGGCCTATGGGTCACAGTAACCACTTACAATCAGGTGGACTGTGTGCTCGTTTGTCACCCTATCCTAAAAAAAAATTTGCCTCTTGGCAAAGGCCACGTCTTACATATTCCATTGCTTTCTATCTCTAGCAACACTTCTCCAGTTTGAACCGGCTGCATTTTATCTCATCCTCCCATCTTTTCCCTTTTGCGTTCCTTTTTCCTTATACCATCTCTAGGGTGCCAGTGAGTAATAATATCGCTCCACTTTTCTGGGATACTTCACAGTATATAATATACTGCGAAATACCCAAGTACTGGCTTATAATGGTAAAAACATTCACTGATTTCCATCAGTATATTTCTTGCACGGTCGAAGAACTTTATCTTGCACGGTTCGAAGAACTTTAAAGTATGTCTGTTAAAAGACTAAAGCAGTATTTAATAAAACAGTTTTGTCGAAAGGCTTGATTTATTCAGTCTTATAATTTATACAAACGTTAAAATAGTATATTTACAGAGCTAAACTAAAATAATTAGACCACTTACATAAAAATCAATAAATCATTTTAGAAAAGAAAACCGAAGACAAATTCAAAATGGATATTATATAATCCTCTTATTTAGGCTTGTTGAGGTCTTGGCCTGGTGGCGTTGGTGAATTGTATTCGGCAATCTGTCTTTGCCATGTTGGGCAAGAGGAAGTCGTTTATAGTGTTGACGCCTTTTCGAGCTGGGCGGTCGAAGGGGTAGCCCATTGCACGACGGTCTGGGTAACGCCGGTCGCGGATGCCGCAATATGAAGCAGCATCATTACAAGTGCCTACAGTGTCTTGTTTGATCTGTAGAAAGATAAATATTTTGATTATTTTAAGTTTTACTTAATTTTATAATTAGAATTTTTTTAGTACGGCTCCGTGGCTTAGTGGCTTAGCAACGAGTTGCAGCTCTGGGGCCCGCGGGTTCGAATCCGGCACGAAACAAGTAAGGCCTACAAATAATCCTTCCGGGTCTGGATGTGTGTCCTTGTGTAATTTATGTTTGTAAACTGCCTCCACGATGCAGGAGTAAATGCTACGTTTTTAATAAAAAAAAATATAAATATAAAATTAATTAATTATTTTATACTATTTGTAGAGCCTTCCTCCCCCCCCCCCCCCAACAAGATAGAGTGACGAACTGGTAAGAGATGCAGGAAATCGATGGCTCAGGACCGTGCTTTGTGGCATTCCGTGGGGGAGGCCTATGTTCAGCAGTGGACTTGTGAATGGTTGAAATAATAATAATAACCAATAGATGGTGTAACCATTTTTGACGCCAGATTAGAATACAATACAATAGAATCACTTTTATTCAATATAGATTACATAATACTTATTGAAAGTCATTTTTTTACTTTTACCATTGGTTCGCAATATAAACTCTGCCCTGAGATGAACCAGTAAGAAACCCAGCGGGACTTTTTTTTAAAAAAGCACAATTTACAATATAATATTTTATACAATTGTTATGAAAACATTTAGAAACAGCGTGGTAGCGACCACTTCATTCCCAGGGGTTATTATTAGTCATGTACTCCTGATTAGTATAAAACCCTTACTAGATAATTTTTGCTTAATAAATAATTTAAACCTTTTGATAGATTAGGTCTGAATAGTTTGGGACTTTGTTGTAAAAGTGTATTTATAGCCCCATGAAGGAATTACTGATCTTTTGGAGTCGAGTAACTGATATAACTAACTTGTGTTTGTTCCTAGTATTTATAAAATGTACATCACTATTTTTTTATAAAACTATTTTAGTTTTTGTGTACTGTGTAGTAGTTGTGTGTGATTTTAAAGGATATTCGAGCTTTTAGATACACCTGTATATATAGCGAAGTTCTATAAACCCGATAGACCTAGAAAGTAATATATCGACTCTGTAATAAGCGAGCAACAAAAGCGGTCTTTAGGATCGCAGTCGGGGTGGTGGCCACGAGTACCATGAGCATAGCAACCCTATGGGTAACGGTAGTTCGACCTGTTTTAACGATCGTGACGTAGGAAGATTCCTTTTCTACCTAGTACTCTGTCTGGTTGAGTACCACATTACTTACAATTTATCTGTATCCCTCTTTGTTTAAAGTTGGTTGCACATAATAGGCTGCAGTAGCCATCAGGTGGGCTGCAAGTTCGAGGGACACTTCATTTTTATGAAAAAAGAAACAGGGTGCAGAGGTTGCATGTTTCATAACATAAGATAGAATTAATAACACCGCCCAAACCCTGTAGTGGCGGTGTAAGAATATCCACTACCCTATATCGTTCCGTGGACTCCGTGGGAAAATAAAACAGGAGATAGGCAACATCTTTCTGGTAAACACTCCAAATAGTAGAAACTGAAAATGGCAACCCTCTTGCCAAGCGTGGCAACTATAGCATAAATATGAGGCCATCAATGGGGGAGGCCAATGTTCAGTAGTGGACTTTTATAGGCTGTAATGGTAACTTACTAACCTAATTCAGTATAACGTTAATAATATATATTTCATTTTATTATACTTACGGCCCCGTGAAAACTTGTCCAGCTCAATCATGAGTTTCCTTTGTTCGTTGAAAGGAAGCAGAGTTCCTTTTTCATTGAGGTTAATGCTTCAGAAAAATTTGCAAGTCATACCGACCTTGTTGGTGAATTTGATTAACGTCTATCTTAAATCACACTTACACTATCATCAGCCCAGTTAGACACCATGGCAAATAGGACGATAGGGTATCCCGTGGTAGTTCCTTTAGGTAGAAGCATATGGTGTGGCCATCCACAGCCGCAAAAGTCGAACGCGGCGGCTTCCGCAGAGCCCGGGTCACCAGGTCTATTGGCTTGGTTGCGGAACGTACGTTCGTACGGGATCGTCACTGAGGAGTCCATGCTACTTCTGGTTACCGTGTTCATTCCGGGACGTACTGTTCACAAAAGAAACACAGATTTTATCGCGTTTAATTTTACTTATTTTAATTCCCGACGCTTTGGATTCTTTGGAGCACTGTGATCTATTTTTTGTGCGACTGTTTGACCACAGACTATATTATGTATGAACGAAAAATATGACACACTATTATGTATTTGTCATAAACATTATGTACAATAAATGTTTTATTTAATTTAATTTAATGTATTTGTAACACATCTTTCTATTTATAATATTCTGTCCGTGTGTATGTGACTGAACTCCTCCTAAACAGCTTGACCAATTTTAATTATATTTTGTGTGTGTGATTTAGTTCTTTCTTTTTTCTTTTTTTTTAAAAGTTGATTCGAGAATGCCTTAGATTCACAATTGAATCCGGTAGGTGGCGCTGTTGTCTAGATCCAGAAGTCACCCGTACGAAGCCGGAGCGGGTCGCTAGTTTTTTATATATACATTTGAGCTTTTGCACTTCATCTCCATATAAACTTCAACTATGCCAAAACTTACCATGAGTGCAATATACCTAGTCAGGTCATAAGTATTGTCACACAGTAAAAACTTTTCTTTTAGAATGCTGGCCACAAAAAAAGTTTATTGAATTCGAATTTCGAATTGTTCATGAACATAAAACTGTATACTTTTTAGAATTTTACTCATTTTTAAATATGGAGTGGACGCTTAAAGAAGACCGTGTTGCAGTTATTGCGTTGCATCGTTGCGGTTACGCGCCAATTCAAATTTTTGACATGAAAAATTTGAATATAACCAAAAGATTCGTTTATCGTACCATCAAACGGTACCATGAAGACTCTAGTGTAGATGACAGGTCAAGAAGTGGTCGCCCTCGGTCTGTTAGGACTCCAGCAGTGATAAAAGCTGTGAAGGCGCGAATTCAAAGAAATCCCAAACGTAAGCAGAAACTGTTGGCCCTTCAGATGGGGTTAAGCAGAACCACGGTGAAAAGGGTGTTAAATGAAGACTTAGGGCTTCGGGCATATCGAAGAAAAACAGGACATCGTTTGAATGCTCGTCTAATGGACCTGAGACTGAAGAGATGCCGCGCTTTGTTCAAGCGGTACGCGGGAAAAAAATATCGGGAAATTCTTTTTTCGGATGAAAAAATTTTTACCGTAGAAGAGAGCTACAACAAACAAAATGATAAGGTGTACGCACACAGTAGCGAAGAAGCGAGCAACCGTAGTCCGCGTGTCCAACGAGGTAATTTTCCATCCTCGCTCATGGTATGGTTGGGAGTTTCTTATTGGGGCTTAACAGAGGTACATTTTTGTGAGAAAGGTGTAAAAACGAATGCAGTTGTGTATCAAAATACAGTCCTGACGAATCTTGTGGAACCTGTTTCTCATACCATGTTCAATAACAGGTACTGGGTATTCCAACAAGATTCGGCGCCAGCTCAAGTAGCGAAGAGCACACAAGACGCGGCGCGTGAAATCGACTTCATCCGGCACGAAGACTGGCCCTCCTCCAGTCCAGATTTGAATCCGTTAGATTACAAGATATGGCAACACTTGGAGGAAAAGGCGTGCTCAAAGCCTCATCCCAATTTGGAGTCACTCAAGACATCCTTGATTAAGGCAGCCGCCGATATTGACATGGACCTCGTTCGTGCTACGATAGACGACTGGCCGCGCAGATTGAAGGCCTGTATTCAAAATCACGGAGGTCATTTTGAATAAACTTTAGTGTCATAAGAATCTATGTTTTGTTAAGTTCATATTGGTATATAAATGGTTACATAATGAATAAACTTGTTTCAATTATTTTATATTAAACATGTGACAGAATTTATGACCTGACTAGGTACTTATATAAAAAAGGGGTACAAAGTTTTCTTCATGTAAGAAGAAGACATATACCAGTATTGTGTTAATTATTACAACGCGGGATTATATTTAATACATAATTTTAAGACTGACCTACAGAATACCGCGCAGTAGGCCGCCCTACACATTTGTGCTTTTGTTATGGCTTTTAAGTATAAGAACAGACTTAGAAAAAGAAATATTACGCGCTCCGATGCTTCTTAATACTCGTAGTATAGTTTGTTTGCGCCAAACGCTAAAATTTAAAATTACTATAACGGAGGCGCGTCGGCGCGCTTCCCCGAAGTCTCGGTACTTAGCCGGTTGGCACGCGGCTCGCGGGCGCCTCCCCGCACGCGCCGAGCGCCTGGGAGATCGTGCATTTTTTTGTCGTCAAGCGGCGGCCGGGCGTTGCATTGCTGTGAGTCTACTCGAGCCGTGTGGTTACCTCCGATCGTATCGATTTTGTTAGCAAATTTATGCAACGACGAGGAATTGTGTAGTCTAGAACATTAGACGCCGGGTTGACTAATTGTTGGGAAGTTAATGTTTAATTGTACCGTTGCGTTAAGTGCCTAGAAAGGTCGCGTTCGGTTCTCGAAATAACTTGTTGCTGAGTGAACGGAAGTGAACTTTGACCCCCGTTCATCTGTCGCGCCGCGTGTTACGTTTTGATTATATTTAACGGGATTTAGTTGCGTTTTGAAGTAAGTTAAATGTACAATAAAGTTGATAGACTGACATAGTGGATAGAAGAAAGAAATTGACCATTGGTGACGCCGCTGGAGAATACTACACCGTGGAGCGGTGCCGGAGTCAGGGTTGCTGTCGACTTTAACGGTCCAGTCAGGTCAACCATAATACACACCACTAAACACCACTTTACATGCACCTACACACCTATGGCCTGACCGAGCCTTGGGACAGTCTTTGCCTCAGAACCAGGTACGTCTTATTTATTTACCTAGCCTTCTCCTTATTGTGTAGTTTGAGAGGACATTCCTCCATAAGGCCATTTCCTTAGTTGTCCGTCGAACCTAACAGCTGTATGGGCAGAAGGAGGAACCACTCCCGTAGTGTTGTTAGGGCTAGGTACTTACGCGTCAGGTATTTTGATTAGTAGATAAGGTCATCACGTAATCAGATAATTATCGTTATCGTATAATTATAGTAGATTAATTGTGGAAGGGTCGGTCGCTTCAGCGAGGCATCTTTTCTGACCGACTGTAGTGTGTACCCTTAATTGTAGTGTAATTTGTATTTAATTTAATAAATAGTAATTTGTATTTGTGTAATTTATATTTAACTTGATTTGGTCGTAATTGTATTTGTTATTTGTTAATTTGATTTGTATTTGGGCCGCGTAGTAATTTGTATTTAGTAGTGATGTCATCGCACAAGCAACCGGCCCGTCGCCTGCAGGTGGAGCTGCGCTGGGCCGCAAATTCACATACGTTGATAGGGAGAACCGATCGGGTCCATAGTCTACAGAAGCGGCTCGAGCAGGTCGCGGCCCGAAGGGCCGTAGTGGAGGAGTCTTATGCTGAGCTCGAGGCCTCGGAAGCGGAACAGGGACTCCTAAACTCCGGCCTCGCGGACTACGAGCAGTTCTTTTCGCTCACGGACGACTTGATCGAGGCGGGCGCCAAGCATGCGGAGGACAAAAGTCTACCATACAGGGGCCCACCCTGTATGGTAGCCTTTGTCGGGACAGCTAGCGGCGTGTACATAGTTATATAGTCTGTTCGCTTAAATACGGTCGTCTTTGTGTCGCACCGCATTGGCACGTGCCGCATCTTGTCATAGGCGCTGCTGGGACATCAAAGGTCGCCGCGTACGGCGTACAACCACAGGAAAATTTTGCACTTTAAAACGAGGTTCTGTAGTGAAACCTTCTTTGCTACCTAACTTGTGTTTATTATTTCTATTCGTATTTTATTACAATAACCATAAGAGTAACATAGCATTCAAACCCGGACCTCGATGACACTGAGGTCATCAGTATGAAAGAGATTGAACGTGCGATTCGAAGTTTGAAATGTGGTAAGGCTGCGGGACTAGACAGAGTTACTGCTGAAATGGTCAAGTATGGTGGGCCTCGCGTCTGGGATAGCTTTCATCTGCTGTGCAATTTGTGCTGGCGGACGGGGGATGTCCCGGACGATTGGCGATCCGCAGTCATTTTGCCTTTATATAAAGGTAAAGGTTCACATTTTGACTGCGGATGCTATCGGGCGATCAGCTTGACCAGTTTAGCAAGTAAAGTTTACTCGAAGGTTTTGACACGTAGGATGCAAGAGAAATCGGAAAGATTTCTATGGGAGGCACAATGCGGATTTAGACCTGGAAGCGGATGCACGGATCAAATGTTTTCTCTCCGCATGATTACGGAAAAGCTTCTCGCTGCTAACCAGAAGATTTTCTGTGCTTTTGTGGATCTTGAGAAAGCATTTGATAAGGTTGTAAGGAAGAAAATGTAATAAATAAGTTGAATTCAGTGGAGATGCGATCTCTTCGTAAAATGTGCGGCGTTACTATGGCCGACCGAAAGCGAAACGAAGAGATTCGCAATATGGCAGGTTTGAAAGATGACCTTATCACAAAAATTGATAAGGGCGTGCTTCGGTGGTTTGGGCACGTTGAGCGAATGAGTGAAGACCGAATGGTGAAGAAAATATATAGCGCGAAAGTTAATATTAAAAGGTGTCGAGGTAGACCGAGACTAACTTTCGAAGACCATGTGAGCAAATTGCTCGAAGAGGGTAGGGTCAAGAGTACTCGGATACCTAAACGTGCATGTATGAAGAAGAAAATGAATCTGAAAGAAGCGAAAGAGGTATGTAAGGATCGTGACACTTGGCGATCTGTTCTCTCTGGCTACCCGGTCAGGGATTGTGCGGAAAGATTTTAGTCTTAGAATTGAAAAACATTTATTTAACAAATACAGTAAAAAATAATAAAATAAAAGCAAAATAATAAGTGCGCCTCCGGGTGTACTGACCTATCTTAGCGAACACACTATAACAGTTTCAGTAAATAAATAAAAAATACCCTTACTTGGACATATATTTCATAATTGTTGTTATAGATATAAAGAGAAGAAAATAATATTTAAAAAATACAAAATAACAATAGTAGGCCAATCGGCGCAGGAATCAGGCAAGCGGTTAACCACACTTCAGTAGTATTAATAATTCGGCGCGAGATCACAAGGTGTATTCGCAGAAGATGACGTTTCGTATAGGCGGCGTTGCGCAGTATCATTTTCATCCAACCGTCATTATAGGTGGAGAATAGTATTGAAAGGCGGCAGGCTAAGTAAAAGTAGTAAGGTAAAAGTATGCGAGCGTCCGTATGCAAAATATTGCAAAGATTTTTACTGTACAGTTGTAATTATGTATGTTTGAAAAGAAACCTTTACTTACATGCTTGTGAGAACTTGTCAAGCTCAATCATGAGTTTCCTTTGTTCGTCGAAGGATAGGGGAGTACCATTTTCATCAACAGTTGGCGCCATGAATATTCTCACGGTGCCCATTGTATTTCTACCAGTTGTGTTGTTCACCTGGATGCTATTGGAAAATGACAGGAATAATATATTATTTAACTATATCCATTATCCATCCATCCATCTTTTTTATAGGATAAGGGTGACAAGCGAGCACACAGTCCACCTGATGGTAAGTGGTTTCTGTTGCCCATAGACATCTACATCTATCCTCGTTTGCGAATATAATGCAGATGCAATGCCAGCCGTGAGGACTAAGATGGAATGCCTCTTTTCCAGTAAAATTCCGCCTTTATATTCCGATTATACTGTATGTTTTCCTTCAATAAAATAAGTGCAATTCTTGTGGTGCCCCAGATGTTCATAGGCAACGATGACCACTTACCATCAGGTAAGCCGTATGTATGCTCGTATGTCTTATTTTCTATAAAAACACTTAATTATTATGTGAGGCTTGGTAGCTCAGTTATAGTGCGTTTATCTCAAGTCTGTAGAACTATACATACATACACAAAATCCAAGTATGATCTACGATCCTTCGATTACGTCATCGATAACGTAACGCGTAAGGCATCTTAGTCCTGGAGTGAATGACGACGGTCTGACAGCCTCGTTGGGCTAGCGGTCGTAAATGCGACTGCTAAGTTGTGGACTTGGGCTGGTCATTCTGTCAAAAAATTCTCAGCGTAGGCCAGGGTCATGAAGTTGGCGGTATTTCACCTTCGTGCCTTGGAAAGCACGTAAAGCCGTTGGTCCTGTGTGTGATTTCTCTTTAGTCGCGTCGGATTACTGTCCCGTCGGACTATGAGAGTGAGGGAATAGTGAAGCATACACTCAAGCACTATAACCCTGTTCTGCGCAGATGGCTAGTTTCCGTTAAGACTGGCTGTCGTAACAGATATTCTATATTATGAGGACATTATTATAGAATGACGCTGATGACTCACACGTAGTTGAACTCCTCGTGCTGGAGATGCGTGAAGCGGGCCAGCACGCTGCCACGCGGAGTGAAGTCCAGCCCGCGGCTCAGCTCCACCGTGCTCTGTTCCCAGTGCGTAGCGAATGTATTCCTTCCAGCTTTACCTTCCACGGCAATCGATGCTACTCGGATACCGGGAAATCCCAGCTAAAACGTATTGAAGAATAAAATATAAAAGTTATACGTTCAAGCTTCGGTAGCTTCATCGTCAATTTCACAAGTATGCATATAAGCCGGGTCCAAATGCTTGCTGGCACCATTAAAATACCGTAGTAGGCAGTACAGTATAGTAAGGATTTGCCCTAGCCTGGCATTTGTCAGGCAGATTGGCGAATTCAGTACCAGATATCTTTGACGCCGCTTTTCGTCGCCGGTGTGGGTTTCGTTTACATTTTTCGTTATTTTTTTTAATTTAGCGTAACAACCCACTAGGAGTTTCCCCGGATCGTGGAGGCAGTTTACATATATAAATTGCCGTGCGGAATTTGAACCCGCAGTCATCAGCGCCGTAACTTTTTGCTAAGCTACTGCGCCACGGAGCCGTCACTTACAACTGGCATAAACGATACCATATATCATATATTAGTAATCATCAAGTAGGTACTCGTATTCCTGCAATTTTTCGTAGTTGCTTCTTACTAAGATGGTTCTTTACACCGCCTCCCTACCATATTATCTCATCCTCAGACTATGTTATTCTACGGTCTACGCTATATCATCCATACAAATAAATAAATCTGAAGTGTCTGTTTGTAATGTCAAAATAACAGCTTTTTACTAAATACATGTGAAAGTATATACGGTACTTATAAAATTACAATATTTAAAATTTTTGTCTGTCTGTCTGTATGTTTTTTCTGGGTAATCTCCGAAACGGCAGGACCGATTTTGACGGGACTTTCACTGGCAGATAGATGATATTGTAAAGAGTAACTTAGGCTACTTTTATTTCAGAAAAATTATTAGAAAATTAAAACGCATGAAATCTAATCGTAATAAATTCGACGCGGCCGAAGTCGCGGGGAACAGCTAGTCCATACATATAAATAAAATTGAAGTGTCTGTCTTTAATATCAAAAAGCCTGCCTTATATTGAGCTGAGGGTTTTGCATGCTATTAAGACATGACCATAACACCATTTTTAATTTTTTTCTGTCTGTCTGTTTGTCCGGGCTAACCTTCAGAATGGTTGAATCGATTGTGATGAAACTTTACGAAATGTATTTTGAATGAGTCATTTAGAATTTATAAATAAAAAAAAATGTTAATAACTTGACTGTAACACTACCTATGGATCCTAGCGTAGCTAATAACCCTCGTCCCGACAAAAAATAATATAGGTATGTGAATAGCAGAAGTTACACAATCACTAACAGACGCTTCATCGATTATACATTATCATCATCATCATTAAAACATCCACTGGTGAACATTGGCCTCCCCCAAGGAATGCCACAAAGCACGGTCCTGAGCCACCATCATCCATCGACTTCCTGTACGTCTTACCAGGTCGTCACTCCGTCTAGTGGGGGGCCGCCCTACACTCCGGCTACCGATACGAGGCTGCCACCCGAAAACCTTTCTTCCACATCGGTTGTCGGCTCTTTGAGCTATATGGCCAGCCCACTGCAACTATCTAGACTGGTAGTTAAATTTGTAAAAAAAAACATATATAATAGATGCAAACAAATAGTACCGTGTGGTCGTGGCGTAAGATAATCCATCACTTAATTTCGTCCCGTGGTATATATATATATATATATATATATATATATATATATATATATATATATATATATATATAGAGAGAGAGAGAGAGAGAGAGAGAGAGAGAGAGAGAGACTAATAATAGATGACTCACACTATTGTTATCATAAGCTGGCAACTTATTCTTGTGCAGTTGGAAGATGTCATCGATGTAAGCATGCCAGCGGTAGAACACTGGATCTCGCATGGCAGTTGCAGAATCACCCATTACGCCAAATTGTTCCTGAAATTTACACGGTTTTAGGGGCCAGAATGACATTAATAATGCAAAATTCATCAGTCCGTGCACTTTACTGATTTAAACGGCTTGTAAACGGACTACTTTTAAGGCAATTCCTACCTGCAACTATATAGCCATCAAGTTGCCATCTATATCACGCAACGTGGCGCAACGTTGCTAAGCCTAATGTATCAACGTTGCTTTACGTTTATTAACTCAATCGCTCAACGATACAGTTGATGCAACATTATTAGCCATATTGCCACAGTATAACTACTACTAACAGTCGGTCATCGAGGCAACCGTGATTAAAAATGTTGTACAACAAACTTCAATATAAATTGTTAAGGATAACTCAAAAACTACTGGTATATTTTTTTTAATGGATAAGGGTGACAAACGCGCACACAGTCCACCTGATGGTAAGTGGTTGCTGTGGCCCGTAGACATCTACATTTATCCTCGATGAGGAATCAAAATGCAGATGCGTTGTCACCCGTGAGGACTAAGATGGAATGCCTCGTTTCCAGTAAAAAGGGTCTCCGGTTCTCTATACCCACCATACGAAACACAGCAGCATTAAGCTGCTATTTTACGCTGGTATTCTTTTTACTAGAAACGAGGCATTCCATCTTAGTCTTCGGAGGTGACAACGCAACTACATTTTTATTAATAATCGTAGATACACGAAGATGTTTATGGGCCATAGCATCGACTTACCACCGTGTGGACTGTACGCTCATTTTCACCCTTATTCTATAAATGAACAAGTGGTAAAAATTAAAAATGTTGTACAACCGTCTGCAATATAAATTATTAAGGATAACTAAAACTACTGGTTTTCCCAGACCTATGGGAAAACATGAGAAGCACAAGCTATCAAATAAAAAAAAAATCATCAAAATTGGCTGAGCTGGAAAAAAGTTATAAGGTAAACACATAAAAAATAGAACAACACACTCGAATTGAGTACCTCCTCCTTTTTAAGTCGGTTAAAAAGAAGTATCACCACCTTGTAAGCGCACACTTAAATAATATTGTCACTTAAGTATAGGATTCAAAAAAATAATTTATAAATTCTAGCACCATCATCATTACATTCCTGAGTCAACTGCACCCATCAACTTCCTGCATATATAACCACGTCGTCACTCCATCAAGTAATGTTTAACAGTATACATATCGCCTTTTCTATTATAAAAGTGAGAACTTACAAGATTGCGGTGATCTGGATCGTGGCTGTATGAGATGAAGACGTGTCCCATATTGTGCATGTCTCCATAGTATGGCCGGTTACGACTGATGATTGACGATTCCATAATGTTCCCGAGCACGTCGATGCCGGTCTCTTCGTCCAACGGCATTTGACGACCATTAGGCTGTTATATTAAAAAACAAGAGAAGTTTTATTAAGCACTAACGTGACAAACGAACTTAGTCCACCTGAGGGTAAGTCAACTAACTTCAAACAAAGAAGATTTAAAGTACGTAGCTACTTTTTAATATATAATTGCACAAATTGAACTTGCAAAAGCTCAAGGACTAAGCGCTCACCATAAATTTCACAATACGTTAGCAAACCGTCGGCACCAATGTCATTGTTAATTGCATTTTTAGGAAAGCATATTAACATCTTCTGGTGTATCCCGAAGTCGTCTTATATGACATCCACTGGAGTGATTTAGCGGAATAGACATACAAGGCTTTAAAATAGCTTTTAAATTCTAATAACGTAATTATGTTAACCTACTGCTGTTTAGTAACAGCAAAAGAATATCCACTGCCCCATATCATCCCGTGGGCCACGTAATAGGTAGGAGAGTGAAACTGATACAGGAGATGGACAGCTTTTGATAATAATTCAAAATAATAAATGAGAAATACTAAGACCAGCACTGTTCTTGGTCATGGTTTACTAAGAGAAAAACAAAAAACATATATACACTCCTTCGTGGTAATCGCTTGTTATTATTTTTTTTATACTCTTTATTGCACACAAAATACTACACAACACAGAAAACTTAAATTTATAAATGTATGTACAATTAGTTTACTTATCGCTAAACAGTGATCTCTTCCGGACAAACCTTGATGAAGGAGATAATTTTCTTTTTTTATTTTCTTTTTTGTAGATAAACAAGTATATATTAATAGTACAAGGTATATATAGTATATAAGACAATGCAATAATCAAAAAAATATAATATGTACTTGTACACATACATATACACATATACTTACATATACATACATAGAATACATATTTTTTTAATTATAAATATTTTTGTAATACATTATAACAATATATCATATATTTTTATAATGTACACAAACTATATATCATATACACAAACCTTATCAAGAAAAGTAGATATGACAATAAAATACGAGTATATTAAGTAGAACACATATTTAAATAATAATCTTTAACCATATCTTTGAAAGACTCAATGCTTTGGAATTTTGTTAAAGGAAGCGAGTTCTATAATTTGATTGCTTTGACACAAAAGGAGGATAAAAAATATTTTGAGTTGTGAGCAGGCATTCGCAATATAAGTTTATCAGCTATTCTGCAATGATCTTTATCTGCGCATATGAACTCAAATTTTTCTTTGTCATTCGAAGTAGGTGTTTTTTCAGAGTCATTAAAACTATCTTTGTTCAAGCCTTTATTTATGTAAGGCGATAAGAAAGATATGAACAATTATCGTCCAATAACTATTTTGTCAGTTTTCTCCAAAATCTTTGAAAAAGCTATGCACAGTAGGCTTAGTCATTACTTTAATGAACACAATTTTATAAAGAAAAGAACAGTATGGCTTTCAGCAAAACAAATCAACCATGATGGCATGTTTTGATCGACTAAATAGAATCACCGATGCAATAGATGATAAGGTAAATGTAACAAGTGTATTTTTGGATATGTCAAAAGAATTTCACTTTGTTTCCCCTAACACCTTATTACCTAAGATAGAAAAGTATGGGAGAAGAGGACTTACATTGCAGTGGATAAATTCATACTTATCATCACGAAAACAGTGTGTGGAAGCTAGAAGCCCTAACAAAAATAATGTTTTCACAAAATTTAGATCGCGACTAGTTCTTAAGTACACTGGAGTTCACTAGAGAAGCGTTCTTGGTCCTTTTTAGAGTTCCGTACCTCAAAAGGAAAAAACGGAACCCTTATAGGATCACTTTGTTGTCCGTCTGTCTGTCTATCTGTCAAGACCCTTTTTCTCAGGAATGCGTGGAGGTATCCGGCTGAAATTCATAACAAATACTCAAGTCTACTGTCCCTTAGAGCTGTGAAAAAATCAAACTTCTAAGCCAACGCAATCAAAAGATACAGCCGTTTATGCCGTAAATTTTCGACTTTCGCAAAGGAATCAAAACCTACAGGGTACTTCCCGTGAACTCAGAATCTTGAAATTTGGTACGAAGCAACGTTTTATAGCACAGATAAAGGAAAAATTGCGAAAAGCATAAATTTTTAGTTACATCATATAATAAAATATTTTTAATAATTTTAAACTTATATACCTACAGATTTGTTCGGAACCCTCGGTGAGTGAGTCCGACTCGCACTTTGCCGGTTTTTTGTTTGTAATTTATGTAAATGATTTACCGGATTCAACTCCATTCCCATGCATTTTGTTTGCGGATGACATATCTTTGATCGTAAAAAATAATCATGGAAATAAATATTATTACGAAAATGACATAAAATGCGCAATAAATGATGTCATTTCATGGTTACATGATAATAATTTAAAGGTCAATATCGCCAAAACCTGTTTTAATTTTATAGTAATAATAGAACGAAACTAGACCTTGACATTAGGTATAATAATGACAAAGTGCAAGAAAACGAACAGAAGAAATTTCTGGGATTAAAACTAGATAGTAATTGTAATTGGATGGCTCATATTGATGAAATTTGTAATAAAATTAATAGATTTGTATATGTTTTGAAAAGGTTAAGAAGAACATCGTCACGCCAAACCGTTGTCAACTCGTTGCATATCATGGGTATGTTGCAACAATACTAAGATACGGATTGTTAATTTGGGGTAATAGCTCTTATGTATTCAAAAAGAGCTTTTATAGCTGAAAAAAAGTGTGTGAGAGCTTTAACTGGGACCAAATGGTATGATTCGTGTAAGCCCATATTTAAGAATCTTAACATACTAACTTTACCAGCATGTACATGATTGAAGCAAGTGTTCATGTAAAAAAAATTACGTAATATGTACAAAGAAGCATCCGAGGTATATTTGCGTAACACTCAAAAATCTAATACACAGTTTTAGAACGTATACCTAAAACTGCATTTTATCATAATGGTTGTTACGCGATGAGTGTAAAGATTTATAATAAACCTCCGGTAAGTGTTAAAGAAGAGACAGAAACTGGTAAATTTAAAACCAAACTCAAAAGCTGGCTATTATTAAAATGTGTTTATGATGTAAAACAATTTTTAAAAGAATAGAATCTTGTTGCGTATATTTGACATTAGTGTATTATTTTAGACATTATTTTTGTGTAATGATTTGTGTACTCTTTTGACATTTTATTTTTTACTATTTGTAATGTTTGACATGATGATTGTAATTTTAATTTAATTTAATTTAATTGAATAATACATAATAAACTTCTTTGCTTGAAATGATGATTAGAATTTTATCTTTTTTAATTTATACTTATTTGGTTTAATTTAATTTATGCACATAATTAATTATTTTTATTTAATTAATAACTTTCGCATGCCAGATGTGGTGAACATGTGAACTATGTACAATATGCAACTATTTGTCACATCTGATGTACTATGTTTAAGCGAATAAACTATATTATTATTATTATTTAAGATAACTTGGTGTTTTAGGATCGAATAGTAAGTACACAGTAAAGTAGAGATAGAATATGAGTATTCCGACGAAGTCTGATAGGGACCCACTTGAGCTTAATACGGTACTCGGAAACATGATCATATTTGCGAAGACCAAATATGAACCTAATACCGAAGTTTATTTATTTGATCCTCAGTAAGATTGGAGTAGCATGCGTCATCGTAATCATGGATAGGGACTAGGGAGTAACAAGGACTGTGTCTGTAAAATTCTAGTAGGAATGGGAAGCGAGTTACGCAAACGTCGTAAATAAGACGCTGCCGTAAACATCTTTCTGCTGGACTCCTTCATATGCAGGGACCAAGAAAGATTCTGATCAATATAATATAATCTTAGGTATCACAACACCATCAACAACAATAGATGGAAGGTTATCCCAAGAAATTCTCAATATTAAAGTGCTGTTTCCAACAATAATGGCTTGGGTCTTTTTGGGATCTAAATTAAGCCCGAACGACCTGCTCCAATCAAGTATTGCAGCAATATTGTTATTGGTGACATTGATGGCATTGGTAAGATTATTGAGTGATGTATGGGAGTAAATTTAGAGATCATCTGCATACAAATGGTAGAGAGACGAAATACGTGTATAGAATAGTAATAGAATTAATAAATACAGAAAAAGGGAGAGGAGACAACACGCCACCCTGTGGTACACCAGCAGTTAGTTCACACCACGTAGATGTGGCATCCTCTACCATAACACGCTGCAGGTGCCGTGTTCAACCATTCAACCATTCAATTGCCGCTGGAGATATGTTAATAGAACGTAGGAGACTCAGCAATACGTCAAAATCGACAGTGTTAAAAGTGTCATTAGAGTCAACACACATCGTGGTTCATAGATTATTTGTGATTATGCACACACATTGGCAATGTTGAATCTTTAATTACTCTATATAAATTTAAAAAAGTACAAAATACTTATAATCTCACAGAATACCAGCGTAAAATAGCAGCTTAATGCTGCTGTGTTTCGTATGGTGAGTGTAGAGAACCGGAGACCCTTTTTACTGGAAATGAGGCATTCCATCTTAGTCCTCACGGGTGACAACGCATCTGCATTTTGATTTGTAACAGAGGATAGATGTAGATGTCTATGGGCCGCAGCAACCACTTACCATCAGGTGGACTGTGTGCTCGTTTGTCACCCTTATCTCTCTAACACCTGATGGTAAGTGGTTGCTGTGGCCCATAGACATCTACATCTATCCTCGTTTGCGAATCAAAATGCAGAAGCGTTGTCAGCCGTGAGGACTAAAATGGTATGCCTCTTTTCCAATAAAAAAGAGTCTCCGGTTCTCTACACTCACCATACGAAGCACAGCAGTGTTAAGCTGCTATTTTACGCTGGTATTCTGTGAGAGCGTGGTCCTTCCCCGGTCGTGCCGACCCATTCGTGCTACAACTATACTACGAATATAGCTGCAGCATGGCTCTACCACGTATAAAGTTGAGAAATGGTAACACATAGACAATCTAGAAGTGTGAATTGCGCTGGCCTTAAACCTGGTGACATACTGACGAATCCGGAACAATCGTGTAACACATACTGGGCTTTAAAAAGATGTTTATATTGTTGGAATTGTGTTTTGGCGTTTTTTTTTTGTCTCTAACTTTAAACCGAGAATCTTGAACTAAGGCCCTAAGGACCATTATAAGGATCATCATAGATCACCTAGTAGTCTGGCTACAAGGTCGTTAAAAAAAAGTAAAAATAAAATTAATTCACTAACCAACAGGATTGCATTATTCTCGATGGCCTGGATAATGCGGTCTCTCCAAGTTTCCAGTTCAGAAACTTCGCTTCTGATTTGATCTACTGGCCTATCTAAGTCCCGAATGGTGGATCCCGTAAATCTAAATAAAAAAATGTAGTTCATATTCATCTTCTCAATCAACCCATAAAACTGTCCGCTGCTGAGCGTGGGTCACTCATAGATTTCTTTTATAGGATAAGGGTGACGAACGAGCATACAGTCCACCTGATTTAAAGTTGTTGTTGCGGCCCATAGACATCTACATCTATCCTCTATTACGAATCAAAATACAGATGCGTTGTCACCCGTGAGGACTAAGATGGAATGCCTGATTTCCAGTAAAAAGGGTATCTGGTACTCTACACTCACCATACGAAACATAGCAGCTTTAACCTGCTATTTTACGCTGGTATTCTGTGAGAGCGTGGTGCTTCCCGGGTCGAGCCAACCCATTCGTGCTACAACTATACTACTAATATAGCTGCAGCATGGCTTTACCATGTAAAATATAATAAATAGAAGAGAGTATTTGCCATACCCGCTACGTTTGGCACGAATATTGGCGATTACAATACCAAATGTCACGGCACCTTCGACGCTACAGTCTCTTACCAGTTTGTGTATTTATTATAAGTGGTGCGAAGTGGTTATTCCATTATATACTGATGAGTAAGTGGAAATTGTGGGATACAGACACGTCTATGCTAGATTTAGAAACAAAATGCAGGGAAGTTGTCACCTCTGAGGACTAAGGTGGAATTATCTTATTACCAATAAAAAAGGTATCTGGTTTTCATACTTGTTACTAGTCAAAAGAAATGTTAGTGAAAATGGTATCCGGATATCATTTCATACCAAAATAAATACAGCAGCATTTTGGTGCAATTTTATATTGATAATTAAGAGCGTGATCCATCTAGTCCCCGCTCGAGTCGACCCATCAGTGTCGGTAATAAGTGTCTTTCTCTTCCCCGATTTTTCTCTTTCCCAAAAGTGATAAATTCACGGGTAGGTTCGGTAACATATGATTAAATAGCCCTGTATATAAGGTTAATACTGTAGGTAACTAGTATTTAAATATGTTTTAATAAAATTAGATAGTAGTATATTTAATTATCATACCTTGGGGGCCAAGCGCGACTTGCAACTTGGGAATTCAGTTTAGGGAAATATCCTTCAGAAATAGGCTCGCGGAAATTGTTATAACGCGTTACACGTCCGAGATTGTTGCACATTCGCTCCGCGTTAAATCTGTAAGAAACTCAAGCAAATTAGTTGGTAAAAGTAAATATGTTAAAAGGTATTTGTTTGCGATAAATTGACTTCGACACCGTTTCTACACCATGAATGTTGGCACGTAAATATGTTTTTTCATTGAGGTTTTTATGACACTTTGTTTTATCTCACCAATAGATGAAGCTGTTGCTCATCAACTTTTATACCGTAAAACCGATCGCCATGAAAATTAGTGTACGAGGGCAGGGCGATATCTGTCGAATTTAACTATTATGTATAAGAAAATATGTGCATAAATATAACTGTGTTACCATTTATCAACTTTTTAAGTGACAAAATATTTTTTTATAGGATGGGATGACAAACCAGCACACAATCCACCTGATGGTAACTGGTTGCTGTGACCCATAGACATTTATCCTCAATAAAGAATCAAAATGCAGATGCGTCGTCACTCGTGAGGACTAAGATGGAATGCCTCTTTTCCAGTAAAATGGGTCTCCGGTTCTCTACACTCAACATAAGAAACGCAGCAGTGTTGAGGTGCTATTATACGCTGGTATTCCGTGAGACCGTGGTCCTTCCCTGGTCAAGTCGACCCATTTGTGTTACAACTATACTACTAATATAGCTGCAGTATGGCTCTACCACGTACAAAAATTACCTACGTGGGTCGAGTTTAAGTGTTGAAGCAAGAAATGAGAGTCTTTTATAACATAAACGTTGGTAATCGTTGTCGTTACAGCCTATCAAAGTCCACTGCCAAACATAGACCCCCCCCCTCATAAATTGCCTCTTAGAGGAGATATATGCCATAGTTGCCACGCTTGTGCACTACTTCTACTACTAGCTAACAGGCATTACTTCAAAGGTTTGTGTATATTTTTTTTTGTTTTTTTTTTTTGTTTTTTTTTAAAAAAACGTTACCCCCACACTAGGATTTTCTCCTGTATCGCGGAGGCAGTTTACAAACACAAATTGCACAAGGACAAACATCCAGACCCGTAACAATTATTTGTAGGCCGTACAAATACTTGTTCCGTGCGGGATTCGAACCCGCGGCCCCAAGCATTGCAACTCATTGCTAAGCCACTACGCCACGGAGCCGTCAATACATATATCTCTAGGCTCTAATAATGGCTAATAAGGCTCTACATATGTGGCCTTCATATGATTTTGATTATTATTTGCAGGTTTCCTCATAATATTTTCCTTGCAGCACCTTATCATCCCAGAATATTTCCTTGAGCACATGCTACCTAAATCTTTAGCAATAATTCAATGTGATATCAACAACTAACCGTGTCGCGGCGGTGTAAGAATATCAACTACCCCATATCGTACCGTGGGTGTCATAAGAGCGGCAGACAGAAACAAACCAGAAGATAGACAGCAGCGTTTTCTTAATAACAACTCCAAATTAATAAAGACTGCGGTTGCCAATCCACCTGCCAAGCGTGGCAACTATATCCCCTCCGTGAGGAAATCAAATCAAAAGCTTTTAGAAAAATTTACTTCGCAAATATCCGCGTTATAAAATAAAATGATGTGTCTTACCTAGTATGAAGAGCACCTCCCGCCCTCCCTCAATTGCGTGCACTATCCCCGTCACCACTAATCCCAGCACCGCTACTCCCAACACCAATACACTAGGCAAGACACACCACTGACGATAATACGACACGTGTTTCGCCTCTACACGAGGCATCCTCAGGTGATATAGACTCTACTATACTTTTAAAGACTGTAATGAATAGATGGATATATGGACGGAAATCGAAATAAAATTTAGAACCTGGCAATAATTTGTTGATGCATATAGTAGAAGAGTTCTCCTCTCCTGTCCTTATTCACGATGGCTCGATCAGACGCATCGAAGGGGTAGACGAGATGCCAGTGCCAGTGGTGCAGGTTAATGCCAACGTCTTCCCGGAAGTACGCTACACGCTGTTCTGGTTCGGAATCCGACGCAGTATAGTTTTGCGGTATGACTACTGGCATCTGTTGAGTGAAATAATAGTTAAATAAATATAAATGAGACACTGAATGTGCTTAGTTTAAATATGTCCATTATCAAGCATACTTGTAGACATTTCAATATACTATACTTCGATTATACTTCAATATAAATAAAATGAGAACATCATCAATGTAGTAGAAATCAATTAAATACTCATTATGAAGGATAACTCAAAAACTACTTGTCAGATTTTGATCAATATTTATATAAGACCACATGAGAAGCACCAGCTTTCAAATAAAAGAATCATCAAAATCGGTTCACCTAGAAAAAAGTTCTGAGGTAACACACATAAAAAATACAGTTGAATTGAGTACTTCCTCCTTTTTGTAGTCGGTTAAAATAAGTAGTACCTTTGGTACAGAAATCACTTTTTTGTGTTTACTTTTTTATAATCGTTTGTGTTTATATGTGTGTTTGTGTATAGCAGTAAATCACTGATGATCAGGACTCAAAAGTAATTAGCAAGAAACCAGGGTGTGTTTTTGAGGCACTGGGTGCATGTGCATGTCCATATACTCGGACAGGTATCTCAGGTATATGAAGTAGTATGAATATAGTAATATCTATTTCTTTAAATAATAACCTACTTTTACTGACATATATTTTAAGAGTTTTTCTTTAGTACTCATCTATAACAATTTATAGACTACATGGTGGATTTATATCTTTACTTTATTTATTTTTAAATGTTAAATAATAAAATAAAATAGATGCCTTTTCTTAGGGTAATATATTTTTCAGGGATCAATCGGAAACATTCCTAAAGTAGACTTTTTCAATACCCACGGGATACAATTAAGTTATAGATTCCCTTCGTACCACCACAATGTGTAGTGCCGTGGCAAATCATAATATTTTTTTTAATTATATAACCTACGAATCTAGTAAATACAAATACAATGCGCAACGGAAAACAAAAGCTGCTCTATTAAAAAAAAACCCGGCAAAGTACTTTCTGAATATTTCATACACTTACCCTAGGGCCTGACGTAACGACGGTACTGACTTCTCGAGCACGACGGAATACTTTTGAATCCATAAATTTGTCCGGGAACGTCTCTGTTAGAGTTGGAAGGTTCATCCCTTTTGTATCAGGTCTGAAGCATGGATAATAATTATATTAATGAAATTAAATCCCAATTCTAATGCGATAGATAGTAAATATAAATAGGTAAAAACCATCACCTGTGTAAGAGTGCAACGGATAGACAGTAATTAAACATGTATGGATTGATTCGGAGCTGGCAGTACGAGCAAACGGACTGCAAGTCCTCTAAGTCACGCATACCTGCAAAAAAATATAACATTATTGTAAAAGCTAGTAATAGTGGTCATCATAGAACAGCATATTATAAGTACAGTCTAGTAATCTTGTTGAGATTTTATTAAAAACTAGCTGTGCCCGCGGCGTAGCTCGCGTATACAGGTTTTACATAAACAATTTGTCGTTTAGGTAAGAGAATATTAAACGATTTATTTCATTACTGTATCAATAAGTGGTAACTAAATAAATCATTATCATCAAAGTTCTAAGTCGTTTATGATAGAGCTTCTGTGTAAACGACGTGAGAAGTAGGCTTAGCCGGGGTGTACACTAAAAGGTTACGGGGGCTACTAACGCGGGAAAAAGCAACATAGAGTTGGCCATGTGCAAAACAGTCAGTACTGAGGTACACTCCTACAACGCGTAAAGTTTGACCTTGCGCTTTATTTACGGTCATCGCATAACACACGCTCACTGTAACTGGGAACTGAACGCGCTTAAAACTGAAAGGAAAGTTACTTCTTAATAGTGGGTTTTTGGGCAGTGCTGCCAGATAAAAAAAAACTAATTCAGCTCTAGGACAACACAAAAAGCGCTAGATTTCATGAAAACAGCGCTTTAAAATAGCCCTAGATTTCGCGCTAAATTAACTACAAACAAAGTTTGTGTTTTTTTATATAATCATAATAAAGAAAACGACATTAAGTTTTTTTTCTGGCAATATTTTTTTGATGTATCAATACTTCGCAGGACATCGACTTATAATTATGGCAATTGCTCTCAACAGTAGTTAGTACTGTACGAACAATAAAAATGTCATTAATTGTTTTAAAGTGCAATGTATTTCGCAACTTAGTTTCAGATGTCAGCATCTGATAGCGGTTGCTACACAGTTTCTTTGTGTTATAACTTCTAAGTAACTTTTAACTTAGCTGTGCTCTAAGCAACTGACTGAAACTGAATAAAGCAAAATAAAAGCGTTGCCAAAACCATGAACAAAAACTTTAATAAAGGGGATTTCCCCGCTTATAGTCGTCGGTAAAAAAATCAAGTTTATCATCCTAAAGGGGAAGCCAGGAGATCCATAGCACAGGGTATCCTAGTTTGGACTCGTCTCCCATGCTCTTTGTTTTGTGGAAAAAATATGTTTGAAAAAGATAAACTGCAATGTACTATTTGTGGGAAAAAATAATAAAGGTCATTATTATTATTATCGGTAATGTGGACTAACAGTGCTATTATAAAAGAGTTAATAACCCGCTAGTCGCTAAAATATTGAAATGTGTGCTAAATACACCAAAAAGCGCTGGATTAAGCTAGGTGCTAAAATTTCGAAATGCGCGCTATACATTCCAAAAAAGCGCTAAATCTAGTTCCCAAAGCGCTAAAATGGCAGTACTGATTTTGCGTATATTATAAATACAATATCACGACATTTCGTTGCAAAATTTTTATTTTTGATCGGATTCCGTTGTATGGCTTCGATGGATACAAAATTTCTTCAGTAAGTCTCAATAGGATTCATCGGCGAGAAATTTCAACACAGCAATTCAGAAAAGTTTGTAATTTGTACAACTCCATCAATTACGTCCTTTGTGTGAGAAAACATCCTTTTTAAATCTCTTTTTGTGTTTTAAGTATAAATATATTAATTATTATGGAACGTTTTTTTTTACACACAAATCTTTTTATTACTATTTCTGAGATTTTATGGCGCCATTGAACAAATTCGAACCTACATTTCAAAATAATAATCATTACTTTCGATAGAATTAACCAATTTTAATAAAACAAAGATTAAATGTAACTCGAAGATACGCTTTAAGTATGATTTTCTTAACGATTTCTTTGAAAATAAAAGATGTTTACTTTAGACGTGATGCGTTCATATAATAACAGACAAATAGACATACAGACAATTCTAAAAATTATAAAATGTTCTTATTTAATTATTTTCAGTTCCCCATAATGATTTTAGCCACCAAAATATATACCTATACTATGTACAGAAAGAGACACAACATGTTATCATCATTTTTATTATATGTATATATTTAAAGAGAGATGGCGCTGCTAACATCAATTCTAAAAATAAAAGAGATTAATTGACGCGATTGATACATTATATAAAACGCAAGAGAACTTATAAATCAGTGCCTGCACAGTAAGCAAAAAATAAAGTTTGACTCTCGCCAAAACCAACGATTTGTTAATAGCTCTTTTAAAATTTGATTTACCACATAGAGTACTCGGCGGTAAAGAATAAATTGAGTTTGTCAACACGCAGTAGGGCAGTGAGTAATATAATAAAGATTAGCAGTAAATATGAAAACTCATCTACAGGAAAAAACCACATTGCAATCATTCACAACACCACCATCTATCGAAGAAATGGGAAAACTATTGTGCTTCAGATTTAGTTAATAAGGTTAATATATTTTTGTATAATATATTTAATACGTTCTTTAATACTTTTGTTTACTGCGTTTTAGATATACATAATTATATCATTATTTTACATAATTTAACTATGATTTATGATATGATATTAGTTTAAAATGCACTTGATGACTCAAACAAAGCCACCGTTGAGCTAATTCGTACCTATACTTCCCTACCCATACTTCAGAATATTTATCATAACTTTTGATGGAATGAACTGATTTTAATGAAATAAAGACTAAATGTAACCCGAAGATACACTTTATAATTCCCTTAACAATTCTTATGATATAAATTAGTACTTTATACGTGATACGTTAACAAACAAACAGACAGACAGACAGACAGACAGAAAATTCTAAAAATGGTAGAAATGTATTTAATTACTTATTTTTAGTACCCCTCAATCACTTTTATTACAAAAATATAAAATGTACAGACATCTGCTATTTACAGTTTTATTATATGTATAGATAATTCGGCACATTTTTCGTACGTTCTTAAATGAATTTGGCAAAGATATTTTTCTTTATTTTTTCTCAAGTCCTTTACATTTTTTATGTACCTAACTTTTATGTACACTGTGCTTGTTTTCCCTAATGCAATTCATGTATTTAAAACGCCTCCATGATGCAAGTGAAGAAAAAAAGATCGTAGGGTAATCGTGGTGTTTAAAAAATGAAATTACTATTTGAATTACAACGCAAAAGTTAAGACAGTATTTCGAAATAAATTTCATCTGAACCAACATCCAGACTCAAAACAATTATTTATAGACGTACAAACAGTACTTATTCTACGTAAAACGTACGTTTATACTTATACTACGTAATTATTTCTAGACAGACAAACAAAGGGGACTTCACTCTAACCTAAACGCCGTCCACTACCATCTCGAGACGGCAAAGCCGGCCTTGCTCTTTCTGACCGAGACGCAGGTTTCCTCTCCGGCTGATATTTCGTATCTCTCCTACCCGGGGTACAAATTGGAGCATTCCTTTGTGCCTCGGGCTGGAGTTTGCGTGTATGTCAGAGAGGACATCTGTTCTCGACGCCTCGGCAGTCTTGAAGGTTCGGACCTGTCCATCCTTTGGCTACGCGTAGACAGCGACGACCATCCGCGCCTCTACGGGTGCCTCTATAGGTCCCATAGCGGTAATGCCGAAACAGACCGACTCATCGACCACGTCCAAATGGCTACAGATTTCTTGCTACAACAGGTCCCATCCGCAGAGATCGTGATCCTTGGCGATTTTAACGCCCACCATGCCGAATGGCTCGGTTCATGTCTAACCGATCATGCGGGGAGATCTGTTTATGACTTTGCCTTGGCATATGGTCTGACACAACTGGTTACTTCGCCTACGCGGATTCCAGATGTGGAGGATCATACACCTTCCCTGTTGGACCTTCTGCTGACCTCTCATCCGGACGGATATCAGGTTTCCGTCGATGCCCCTCTCGGCTCTTCGGACCATTGCCTGATCCGGAGTGTGGTACTCACGCTCCCTTCGCGGTTGCGTTCTGCAGGTTGCCGCCGTGTTTGGCATTACAGGTCGGCGGATTGGGACGGAATGCGGTCCTTCTTTGCATCCTACCCATGGGGGCGGGTTTGCTTCTCGCCGGATGATCCCAGCGCTGTTGCTGACTCTGTCACTGATGTGGTGCTACAGGGAATGGAACTATTTATTCCATCATCTGTGGTACCCATCGGAGGCAGATCTCAGCCTTGGTTTGGTCGCTCCTGTAAGACTGCATTACGCAGTAAGCAGGAGTGTTATCAAGCCTGGGCTGCGGCCTCGGCGACTCGGGATGTAAATACCAGCACACTTAAAAAGAAGTATAACTTCGCCTCCAGGTCCTTCAAAAGAGTTATTGCCAAGTCAAAGTCAGAGCACATAGGCAGAATTGGCGAGAAACTAGTTCGCCTTCCTTCGGGAACCCGTGCATTCTGGTCTCTCGCCAAGGCTGTCCAAGGGAATTTCTGTAAGCCATCACTACCATCTCTGCACAGGGAGGATGACTCACTGGCCCATGACGCAAAAGACAAAGCCGACCTTTTAGGCTCCCTTTTTGCGTCCAACTCGACTCTTGATGACGGCGGGAAAACACCGCCGACCATCCCGCGGTGTGAGTGCTCCATGCCGGATGTGCTGTTCTCACAGCGCTCGGTTCGCAAAGCACTGCTCTCCCTGGACATCCAGAAGTCGAGTGGGCCTGACGGAATCCCCCCAATTGTGCTGAGGACGTGTGCTCCGGAGTTGGCACCGGTCCTAACGCGTCTTTTCCGGTACTCCTACTCCCAAGGCGTAGTCCCGAATTCATGGAAGACAGCTTTTGTCCATCCGATCCCTAAAAAAGGCGACCGCTCAGACCCATCCAACTATAGGCCTATCGCGATCACCTCCTTGTTCTCCAAAATAATGGAATCCATTATTAACTGCCAGCTCATCCGGTACCTTGAGGATCACCAGCTGATTAGTGACCGCCAATACGGTTTTCGTCGGGGTCGATCAGCTGGTGATCTTCTGGTCTACCTGACCCCTAGATGGGCGGAGGCAGTAGAGTCCAAGGGGGAGGCGTTGGCCGTTAGTCTGGACATTGCGAAGGCCTTCGATCGGGTTTGGCACAAAGCGCTTCTTTCGAAACTCCCTTCCTATGGGCTTCCCGAGAAATTGTGCAATTGGATCACCAGCTTCCTTGCAGATCGGAGCATCAAGGTCGTTGTAGACGGTGCATGCTCTGACTACAAGCCTATTAACACTGGTGTTCCACAAGGCTGTGTGCTATCACCAACGCTGTTTCTTCTGCATATCAATGATATGTTGCTAACTAGTAACTTTCATTGCTATGCGGATGACAGCACTGGTGATGCTCTATACACCGGCCGTGCCAATATTTCTCGGGAAAACGTCGCTGAGTACCGGAACAAACTTGTGTCTGAAGTCGAGTCTTTGCTGAACAAAGTCTCGGATTGGGGGCGACTAAATCTAGTCCAATTTAATCCTCAGAAGACACAAGTTTGCGCGTTTACCGCTAAAAAGAACCCCTTTGTCGTATCTCCTCAGTTTCAAGGCACTCCCCTTCTTGCCTCAGCCAGTATCGGTATCCTCGGAGTCGACATATCGAGTGACGTGCAGTTTCGTGGTCACTTGGAAGGGAAGGCCAAATTGGCCTCTAAAAAGCTTGGCGTGCTCAGCAGAGCGGGACAGTATTTCATGCCGGCACACCGCCTGCTACTTTACAAGGCGCAAGTTCGGCCTCACATGGAATACTGTTCCCATCTCTGGGCAGGGGCTCCCCAGTGCCAGCTCCTTCCACTTGACCGCATCCAACGCAGAGCGGCTCGAATTGTCGACGACCGAGCCCTTTCCGATCGGCTCGATTCATTGGCACTGCGAAGAGATGTTGCATCCCTTTGCATTTTCTTTCGCATCTACCATGGGGAGTGCTCTGAGGAATTGTTCGGATTAATCCCAGCCGCCAAATTTCACGAACGCACATCGCGGCAGAACTCCCGATACCATCCACATCATCTGGATGATTGGCGGTCCACCACTGTGCGATTTAGAAGATGTTTTCTTCCTCGCACGACCTCCTTGTGGAATCGATTACCATCAGCGATTTTTCCGGACCGATACGACTTAGGGACCTTCAAGAAAAGAGCGTACTCCTTTTTAAAAGGCCGGCAACGCATCTGCGATTCCCCTGGTGTTGCAGTTGTTCATGGGCGGCGGTAGTCACTTACCATCAGGTGAGCCGCATGCTCGTTTGCCCCATCTCCTATGAAAAAAAAAAAAAGAGCCGTGGTAGCTCAGATGATTAGCGCTCGCTGTAACCTTCACAGTACTCGAGCAACCCGGGCTCGATCCCCGCCGGCAACAATGAAATTGTTAATTGCAATTTTAAGTGCTGATTTACCACGTGCTCGGCGGTAAAGGAAAACATCGTGAGGAAACCTGCATGTCTGAGAAATAAGAAAAAAAAACAAATATTTCGAAGACATGTGAAGTTCGCCAACACGCATTGGGACGCGGCGGACACTTCCTTGCCCTAAAACCTATCAGAAATGAGAGGAGGCCTATGCCCAGCAGTGGGAAGTAAATAGGCTACAACTTTACTTTACTTTAAACAGTTGTTCTGAGCCTGTGTCGATGCCGATGTATCTGGATGCTTGGCAGTCCAACATGTGCGTTTTACTTGGAGTTTTTTTCTCGTACAACTTCTCTGTGGAATTTTTTACCACGACCGATTTTTCCGGATCTATAAGATTTAGGGACCTTCAAGAAAAGACCTTACCTCCTTTCTAAAAGGCCGGCAACGCACCTACAATTCACCTGGTGTTGCGGTTGTTCATGGGCGGCGATAGTCGCTTACCATCAGGTGAGACGAGCTCTTCTATAAAAAAATGCACCGCAGGTATTCTCATAGCTACTGAATTATCAAGACTTCAATTAATTAATAGTTCCCAACATTTGTACTAATTTTTTTCCTTACCCATAAATACATCAATGAGTTTGCCAGCCATCTGTCGATGTTTAGGAATGAAAAGAGAGAATTGGTCGTTGTACGGCAGTTCCATCGGCAACTGTAGGTTTGGTAGCGCGATGTTTCGCACAGGGATAGTCCTTTGCGCGTCAGAACCAAATCTGCTGGACAGGGTGTTGCTCAGCGATTTGTATTTGTCCGGCTGAAAAACAAACATCAATATCTGCTCTTTAATTCCTTAAAAAAATCAAATATCGATTCCAATATTCGATAAAGCTTTTCCCGACTTTTTCTACCATTGTTGGAATTCGTTCTGAGCTATAGAATTAATATTTTATTTGAATTAATTTCACATAATCACCTGCTTCTTGAGTATAGTTACTATGTTTTTAATGGAAGGTATAGAGGCTAATACTTTATGCGTTGGTTACAAGCTAAGTAAATTATTCTTACTTTTGACGATTAATGGCGGATGAAATTATGTGATAGAGCCATGCTGCATTTCAATATATAATGGTTGTAGCACGAATAAGTCAGCTCGACCGAAGACAGAACTATGCTCTCACGGCTTACTAGGGTGAAATAATAATAATGCTGCTATGTTTCTACTAAAAGAGGCCTCGGGGGTTACAATGCAATAGTGAGGACTAAGATGGAATGCCTCTTTTCCAGTAAAAAGCATCTCCGATTCTCTACACTCACCATACGAAACACGGCAGTGTTAAGCGGCTATTATACGCTGGTATTCTGTGAGATCGTGTTCCTAACCCGGTCGAGCCGACCCATTCGTGCTGCAACCACAATATAGCTGCAGCATGGCTCTACCACGTACAAAAGAACTTGTACTTCAACGATGAAAAAGTGTTACCAATTTCTCGAGTTTCGATACAGTTATGTTGAAAATGAAAACTTAACAAAATATTATTGATTATTTGAAAAAAAAACATACGTAAAAGTTATCCGGCAAGTCGAAGCAAGCTTTTTCCTCTCCTTTCTGCATGAAACATGGTTCGGTGGGGCGGTCGAAGAATAAAAGGATATTCTTTCTGGCGTCTGTCATATTGAATGAAGGTCTGTAAAAGAAATGACTGATAAAACTTTGCTAAACAATAATTTAAAATTAAAAATTTTGTACAACCGACTTCAACATAAATTATTAAGAATAACTCAAAAACTATAGGTCAGAGCTTGGTCAAATTTATATGAGACCACATGTGAAGCACCAGTTTTCAAATAAAAAAGGCATAAAAAACATACAGTCGAATTGAATACCTCCTCCTGTTAGCAGTCGGTAGAAAGCAAAAAATGAAGTGCTAAGTAGGTATATCATATTATGTCACCTAGTTAGATACATCGAGTATATTTGGTCGTATCTGCCGTCAAACCGCAGTGCGCTCACTGTTGTATTGTGGTTGTAAGGGTACAGAGTAAATAATAGTACGTTAAGGGCAATTACAGACTTTTTTTATATAGGGTAACAAACGAGCACAAAATCCACCTGATGGTAAGTGGTTGCTGTGACCCATAGACATCTACATCTATCCTCGATAAAGAATCGAAATGCAGATGCGTTATCACCCGTAAGGACTAAGATGGAATGCCTCTTTTCCACTAAAAAGGGTCTCCGGTTCTCCGGCTCTACCACGTATAAAACTGTTGCGAATTTAATGTTTTTAGTAGTCCTTAAAGAGCAAAAATGTATCTGTGGCCTTCTTTATTTCAAGCTGATTGCAGATATCCATGAGTAGCGGCTACTTACCATCACGTGGACTGTTCACTTGTTCGTTACTTTAATAAAACAAATAAGTTACCTTTTAGATTTGTTAGCTTAAATTCCAGTTTTATTAAAACTTGTTTTAAATATTAATTAAATTTTAAAATTTAAATATAAATTTAAGTAAATATTTAAAGGAAAAGTAAGCCGTGAAATTCACGGCTTGAATGTACAGTCCTGATATTCCCTGATGGTATTTATACAACGAGTTGGGAAAATCCATGTCAGGTTGTTCCACATTAAATTATTCAAGGGTTCAGTAGGGATATTGACATAAAAACAAATGTTAAACTTATAAACATATCGATAAAAAACCTAGTACTTGGTTGACGTAGCTTTAACCGACGTTAGAAAAAAAAGTCTCAATGATGAAACCGATCTAGATTTACGTGCAAAGTAAAACATTAGTAATCAAAATACAAAATTTCATGAAAATCGTTAGAGCTGTTTCCGATAAACTAATTATATCTATAGGTACATATCGGTCGCATAGCCTAGGTAAAACACCTGCCTAGTGCGTCACGAATTCTGTGCTAGGCTTAGCTACACAAAATTATCTAAATCCAATCCAATTCGATGTCTGTCCGTTTGTCACAGTCGTTTTTCTCTTTTGGTGGTTCCTAAATCAAAGATACGTTCCGTTGTGCATTAGGATTTAGGATGTTTTATTTAAATTTTTTCTTTTTCTCTTTTTTTTAAAGAACTTTACATCTACTTTAGGATTTTCTTCTCTATTTTGGGGGCAGTTTACATACATAGATTTCACAAGGACAAATATCCAGATCTGGAACAATTATTTGTAGTTCATACAAATAACAAACTATTCATTCGCCAATTTACGACTGTTTAATAGTTTAATATTTTTAAATTTAAGTCATCGTAAATTGTTTAATATTATTTTGTTTTGTAAATTAAATACAAACAAAATAAACACTTAAAAAAGGTACATAGGATTTTAAATATAATGGGACTTTAATGTGTTTTTTACTTGCATGCTGTTTGCATGCAAATAAAAAACACATTTTTCGCAAGTTTAATATTCGATTAGGCAAAATAACTTTTAATTAGTTTCGTCTCAATTATATATAAGCCTTCAATTCAATTTAATACGTCACGTTATGTTAAAATAAATGACGATTAAAATCGGTTTGGTATACATATATAATTTTTTATAAAATTACTTTTTTTTTTTAAATGAACTAAACCCACGTACCTACATATTAAACTATTGACGTGAATATTTGAATATAAAAATATCACTGTCTATTATGTGAGGACTAAAATGTTCGAAGGACCAGCAATTTCAATGTAGGTAATATTTTTTCTTCAGCAAACTTGTTTAATCATATTAAATAAGGAACCCTAATTTGGAACGTGTGCATTAAATAATATCTCTACGCGAGGAAGCCGTGGTCAGCTTATCATTCGAGAAAGCCCTGTTTGTTAGATTCACATACAAAATACTTAATGTTTTATTTACCGCATTGCAACATTGTTGCATTGATATATTTTTGATAATATTTACGAAATTCAAAACCATGTATAATATTTGCATAATATAGTTTCAACATCAGGGTTTCGTTTTTAGCTTTTGTAGCAAATTTGGGTACAATTGGCTACATGTGGCTTATTTTATATTTTAAGTTCATATTTTACTTATTTGCCATAGAAATTTAGGTAGACAGACATGTTTCAATATTTTTATATAAAAAAAATATTTTAATCAAACTGCCATCTATACGTTCATTGCTGTACTAAATACAATTCTATATGATGTACTAGTTCACGTTTTTTTTGTATCTAGGTGCAACAATTTAGTTATACTATTTTAAATATATTAAATGTATGATGCAGATGCTTAAATCAATGTAGGTTTTATTAATTAATGGGTTAACAAAATGTTGGAACTCTATTTTTGTAATTATCATCTATTCTTATTATTTAAATTATCTTATACTGTCGCCATCTGTCGTTAATTTATGTATTAAAATTAAGTTTTATTGAAGTTTAATGAAAAGTAAAAAGATGGCACTGTATCAGTTAAAAAAACATAATTCGAAAAAAAATTAATTTTTACGTGGTACAGCGATGTTGCAGCTGTGTTATTAGTATAGTTGTAGAACAAATGGGTTGGCTCGACCGAGGAAGTACTACGCTCTCATAGAATACCAGCGTAAAATAGCTTAATGCTGCTGTTCAGGGCCTGATTTACCCACAGGCTAAACTAAACTGAACCCTCGAAGAGGAGGAGGAAGAGGTTCGAAGGGGCGCTGAGCTTGCCTTTGCAAGCACCACTTATGTACAGAATAAAATTTGGTATAATATTCTCAATAAATAATAGAGTTTGTATTTTACTTGTTGCTCTTTCTTTATTTTAGGTACATATCAAATAAATAGATTGTAAAACTAAGATTTGAATTATTTGGTACCTTTCCTTTTTCGTTCACATACTATACAACATGATTCAAAGATTTTAAACTGTTCAAGCTTTCTTCTTGCCAAGGCTGTCCAAGGGACCTTCTGTCAGCCATCTGTTCCATCTCTTCGCAGAGAGAATAACTCACTGGTCCATGCCGCAAAGAAGAAAGTCGATCTTTAGGTTGTCTTTTTAAGTCCAACTCGACTCTTGTGTGATTGCTTCATGCTGGATGTGCGGTTTACACACCGCGCAGTGTGCAAAGCAATCCTCTTCCTGGACGTCAACAAGTCGAGTGGGCCTCATGGAGTCCCTCCTATTGTCCTAAAGGCGGGTGCTCCGGAGTTAGCACCGGTTCCAACGCGTCTTTCCCGGTACTCTTACCCCCTAGGCGTAATCCTGAACGATGGATGATGGAAGAAAACTGTCTTGTGCACCCGATCTCTAAAAAAGCGACCGTTCAGACCCATATAACTAGAGGCTTATTACCAACGCCTCCTTGTTCTCTAAAATAATGGAATGCATTATAAACTGCCAGCTCATGAGGTACCCTGAGGACCATCAGCTGATTAGTGATCGCCAATGCGGTCACTAATCAGCTGGTCCTAGTTCAAATCTTCTAATTTACTTGACTCATACATGAGCGGAAGCAGTAGAGTCCAAGAGGGAGGCCTTGGTTGTTAATTTGGACATAGTGGAGGCCTTCGGTGGACTTTGGCACAAAGCGCTTCTTTAGAAGTCCTTTCTACGGGCTCTCCGCGAAATTGTGCAATTGGATCATCAATTTTCTTGCAGATCGGGGCATCATAGTCGTAGGGGACTACGAGCCTATTAATGTTCGTGTTCCACAAGGCTACGTGCTATCACCAACGCTGTTTCTTCTGTATATCAATAATATGTTACTGCACTGGTGATGCTCTTTACACCGGCTGTGGTATTATTTCTCGGGAATACGTCATCGAGTATCGAAACAAACTTGTCGAGTCTATTATAATCTCGGTTTGTGGACGACTCTAGTCCAGTTTAAACTTTAGAAGGCACAGGTTTGCGCATTTACCGTTAAAATAACCCTTTTGTGGTATATCCTCAATTGGCGTGCTCTGCAGAGCGGGACAATATCTATTTCAGGCCGGCACACCGTTTGCAACTTTACAAGGCACGTTTTCCCGCACATGGAGTACTGTTCTCATCTCTGGACTGGGGCACCCCAGTAGCAGGTCCTTTCACTTGACCACTTCCAACGAAGAGTGGCTCGAACGACAGACTTTTTTCTGATCGGCTTTTTTGATTCTCGGGGAATACTTTGGTGCTGCGAAAAGATCGATGTTGCATCCCATTGCATTCGCATTTTCCACGGAGAGTACTTAAACAAATTGTTCGAATTAATTACAGCCGCTTAGTTCCACCAACGCACATCGAAACGAAAATCACAGTACCATCCACACCATCTGGATGCTTGGCGGTCCACCATTACTGTGAGATTTACTAGGAATTTTCTTCCTCGCAAGACATCTTTGTGGAATCATCTACCACCGACGACTTTTCCGGACCGATTTTCAAAAAACTAGCTTAATCGTTTTAAAAAGGCCGGAAACGCACGTGCAATTTCCTTGGTGTTGCATTTGTTCACGGGCGATGGTCGACACTTACTATCAAGAAAATTTGATGTAACGTGGGCTGCGGGATGGAAAATTTGTAAATCTAGTAAATATATTCGTGGGCTGGGCAGACACAGACAGACCAGAACGGTGGGGGAGGGGGATTCATAGTTAGCCTAGGGCTGTCGGAACTCTAAATCAGCAAAGGCGAACTGAGGCTTAATGCTGCTGTGTTTCGTATGGTGAGTGTAGAGAACCGGAGACCCTTTTTA